CGCGTAGGGTTTTTCTCAGGTGGACGTGAGAGCTTGTGTGTGGGTGTTCGACTGTCAATTTCGATGACAGCTTGCAGACTACCCGGGCCAGTGCACGGAATATGCCCATATACACAATCACCGGCGCAGTGGGACCAAGTGGAACCAAAGTGGGACCTTTGGTTCCACTGGAAACACTTTAACCTTTGATTCCGGAACATTGCTATTAGGGGATAAGGGAGAAGTCATAAATGATTGGGTGATTCAAAGATTATGTTACGCATATAACATTGGGCGTCATCTCAAAAGCAATGACTCTCAGTCGAGCCATCTTATATCTAGCAGACCTTGCATTAACAACAATGACATCTTAACAGTGATTTGACATGACGTTTTTTCTCCTCATCTTTTCCAAGCAGCCTTCTCCACAACTCCGGGGAATGACAATCAGGAATTTAGGACACAGTCTTCTTACTACATCCTCTTGTCTCATGTGCCCTCGATCTATTTTTTCAGCATTATCCACCCGCATTTAAGGAGATGAAGTCATATAGACGCGCATGGTTAAAACCATCCCGTTTTGTTTGCTGCTCACCATCATCGAAAAAAATCGGACAGCTGAAATGTCCTGGTCTTACATCTTGTGCCACTTTTCCGCGAGTGATAACGCGTGATAGCGCATTTTACCGCACTATATTACCTTTTCATGCTCACATTCTGTATGAACATTGTAGTATCAACTTGCTCTTCTCTTCCATATTTTTTCCACAGCAGTTTTTAATCGTATAGCATACTAAGAAGTTTTCCGGGTGCTTTTTTCTTAGTTCATAATTATTTTCTAAGGATTTGTAGTTATTTTTCTCAAGAGACGAATAGGCGGTGACTGTGAATACTCTGCCTACCATATTATTAATTACTGCTAAATATATGGCCGCTCTCTTAGAGCATCAGTGCGCAAATTGTTATTATTTTGCCTCATCATTATGGCTCTTTTGATATTTTCCAGTGGGGGCTAAGAATATAAAAACAAAAATATAATTTATTTATTGTGTCTTGTCTGCCTATTCTGCCCGTCTACTTTTCGCCTTGGTTTATTGTGCGATTTTTGTTGATATGTTGTCTTTGGGCTGTGCATATACGCATTGGTTTTTGTGGTTAACTGCTGCTTTGAGAAGTGACTAAACCTACTCATCGTTTTTTAAAGACATGGCGAGAGGCTGTGATATTAAATTGACGGTTTAAAAGTTCGAGCATTTCTACGCTCTTTGTACTTGCTTTTTTACAACGTACGTTCTATCGTTAGCTTAGTTGCGTAGATCTACGAAAGTCGACTTTCCTCATCGTCATCACACCACACAAGGAAGTGGTTTATTTCAAAATGACGGAAGATGAACAGGTATTTTTAGACTTTTTTCAACTTTGCAGGCATCCAAAACCTTTAGTCTTTTTACGATCAACGCCCCAATTTTCGGTGTGGAGGAGGATCTCAGCGATTTCCTCAGCGAATTTTTCAAAGGTGGAAGCCCTTGTTTCGCAAACTTTGTAGCTCTGTGGCAAAAGCGACAGTTTATTCATTTAATATACGGAAGACAAACACAGTTTGGTCTTGCGGATGTTCTCGGTTGCGTATTCTTTCACCTAGTTAGACACATTGCCGCGAAAAACACGACACGGTTGTCTAAAATCTGTGCGCTCTATTTGCTATATGCCTTCTTTGAAAAGCAGCCCATTAAGAAACAGGTAAGCACAGCAAAACATGTTACCTAATACTCTTATTCACTATTTACTTTCTTCGTATGTATTTCTGATAGACAGGTGTTATTGACGGTGCGAATGAGACAAGAATAAGCATATTCCCCTTATTTATTGTTATCAGCGAGATAAATCGTTTTCTTATTTAGTAAAGACCCAGTGCTTTAATAGGATATGTGTAGGTCATGGAGCTAAAGCTATATTATTGGCCTCCAGACTGCGACCGTAATAAGTAGTTGCATGATCTCAGAACAAACTGTACTCATTCTAATCGTTCCTACATATTCCAACTTCGTCTTAAACATCAATGGGGACCTGCTTCTAAATGTTCGTTACTCGTGTTGATGGGAAAAGATTC